TATATATATATATATATAGGGTTGAGGGTTTAGGGTTTAGGGTTTAGGGTTTAGGGTTTAGGGTTTAGGGTTTAGGGTTTGTATCAGATGAAGGAGGTTCCGGCGAAGGACTTTGCGTTATTTATTTCGGATTGCCGCGTCGCCTTCGGAAACCCTCAGGCCCTCAAACACTTTAATATACAGGTTTGCTGCTGCTGCTGCTGCTGCTGCTGCTGCTGCTGCTGCTGCTGCTGCTGCTGCTGGTGCTTGTGCTGTTGCTGCTGCTGGTGCTGGTGCTGCTGCTGCTGGTGCTGGTGCTGCTGCTGGTGCTGGTGGTGCTGTTGCTGCTGCTGCTGCTGGTGCTGGTGGTGCTGCTGCTGCGGTGGTTTCTGCTGCTGCTGTGGTTGTTGCTGCTGTTGTTGCTGCTGCTGTTGTTGTTGTTGTTGCTGCTGCTGCTGCTGCTACTGCAGCTGCTGCAGCAGCAGCAAACTGCATGCATTTGTTGTTTTGTGTTTGTGTAGATTTTGCTTTGGTTAGCGCCGCCTGCGTCTGCTGCATCATCAAGCACCAAAACCCTCGAGGGTTTAGGGTTTAGGGTTTTGCTGCTGCCGTCAGATGATATTAAACAATTTCCTTATAAAGAAGCTGCAGCACATGTCCTTGAGGCCTATAAACAAAATAAATCCATACTCGTTCGTTCAGGGTTTAGGGTTTAGGGTTTAGGGTTTAGGGTTTAGGGTTTGGTTAACATGCTTATTGTTTGGGGGTTTAGGGTTTAGGGTTTAGGGTTTAAGCATCCAGTATCTCTCTTAAAACATAAAGATATATATTCTGCTTCAGCATCTAGGGTCTAGGGTTTAGGGTTTAGGGTTTAGGGTTTAGGGTTTAGGGTTTAGGGTTTGCGTGCAGGTGTTTGACAGCTCGGGGGAGGTTTTCTCTCCGGGGGTTGCCGCCAGCTTTTTAGTTTTGTGTGGTTTTGGGGTTATTCATGCAATGGCTCACGTCAGGAGAAAAGCAGACTACTGCAAGGCAAGGGTTTAGGGTTTAGGGTTTAGGGTTTAGGGTTTAGGGTTTTAGGGTTTAGGGTTTAGGGTTTAGGGTTTAGGAACACGGTGTTTTTTTTTTCTTTTCATGGGCGTCAAAACCACTTTCTATGTACATATTCAAGGCACATGCGTCAGGGTTTAGGGTTTAGGGTTTAGCGTTTAGGGTTTAGGGTTTAGGGTTTAGGGTTTGTGTTGCAGCTGGATAGTACGGTGGTTACGCAGCTGTATAAGATGGTTGGGGGTTTACGGCCCCCAGCAGATAAGGGGCCCCTTATAGGAGAGTATGAAGGCCCGCTTCTTCTTTCTTCTCCTGTGAGGGTTTAGGGTTTAGGGTTTAGGGTTTAGGGTTTACGGTGGCGAGGCGAAGAAGCAAGGGTTTACGGGTTCTGGTTGCTGCGGTAGAAACAATTTAGGGTTTAGGGTTTAGGGTTTAGGGTTTGAGGCGTTTTCTTTGTTGCAGGAAAACCACCTGGATGCATCACCAAACACGGAGGCCTTGGTAGGGTTTAGGGTTTAGGGTTTAGGGTTTGGGGTTTGGGGTTTAGGGTTTGTTTTTTGGGGTTCAGAGTTCAGTTCTTCTGGTTTAGGGTTTAGGGTTTAGCTTTTAGGGTTTAGGGTTTAGGGTTTAGGGTTTGTTGTTTTTAATATGTTGTATATCATAGCGAATCGCTAACGCCTTAAAACCCCTGATAAACCCTCTAAACCCTAAACCCTAAACCCTAAACCCTGCATGCATATGTGTTGGGGTGTACAGGCAGCTGCAGCAATAGAAGAATACAAACAAAGTGCAGCAGCAGCAGCAGCAACAGCAGCAGCAGCAGCAGCAGCAGCAGCAGATAGTTTCTCTGTGCTTCTTCGGCTTTTATCCAATGCAGCAGAGCATCCTCATGATGAGCGATATAAAAGAATAAAACTCGTAAACCCTAAACCCTAAACCCTAAACCCCAAACCCTAAGCCCTAAACCCTAAACCCTAAATTGTAATTCTAAATGATATCGTAACAATGCTCATATTCATAAACCCTAAACCCTAACCCTAACAAATTCTGCAAGGCGAGTTGATAACCTTTAGGGTTTAGGGTTTAGGGTTTAGGGTTTAGGGTTTAGGGTTTGTGGTGGTGCAGGATAACCCGAGGGTAAAGGCGGCCATCAGCAACCACCCGCCTCTCCTCCGCCTTCTTCGTCTCGGTATCTCTAAACCCTAAACCCTAAACCCTAAACCCTAATCTCTAAACCCTAAACCCTAATCTCTAAACCCTAAACCCTAATAATCTCTAAACCCTAAACCCTAGTATAAACAGTTTGTTATTTTGCTGCAGCACGACCCAAAACCCTCCCCCTCACAAACCCTGAACAGTGTAACTGAACCTTTAGGGTTTAGGGTTTAGGGTTTATCGACTAGAGTTTAGGGTTTAGGGTTTAGGGTTTAGGGTTTTGTGTTGCTGCAGCGGGCTTCACTGGGGGCCCCGGGGCCCCCGAGCTGCTGCTCGCCCCTGACGCTTCGATGGCGCGGCTGCAGGTATGCTTAGACCTAGTGAAGCAGCAGCAGCAGCAGCAGCAGCAGCAGCAGCAGCAGCAAGAAGGAGAGCAGCAGCAAGAAGAGCAGCAGCAAGAGCAAGAGCAGCGGCAAGAGCAGCAGCAGCAAGATGAACTGCAGCAGCAACAAGAACAGCAGCAGCAGCAGCAGCAGCAGCAGCAAGAGCAGCACCAGCAAGAGCAGGAGCAGCAAGAGCAGCAGCAGCAGCAACAGCAGGAGGAGGAGCAGCAGCAGCAACTGCAGAAGCAACAGCAGCAGCAGCAGCAGCAGCAGCAAGGCACAGATGAATGCCTGCAGCATCAAAGAGAAGAGATGCACCAGCAACTACAGCAGCAGCAGCAAAGAGAGCAGCAGCAGCAGCAGCAGCAGCAGCAACAAGAGCAGCAGCAGCAACAAGAGCAGCAGCAGCAACTAGAACAGCAGCAGCTGCTGCAACAGCAGCAAGAAGACCAGCAGCAGCAGCAGCAGCAGCAGCAACTGCAGAAGCAGCGCCAACCCTTAGATTCACTAGCAGCAGCAAACAGCAGCAGCAGCAGCAGCAGCAGCAGCAGCAGCAGCAGCAGCAAACTGCAGCATCAGTATATGTTGTAACCCCAGCAGCACAAAGCAGCAACAGCAGCAGCAACAGCAGCAGCAACAGCAGCAGCAACAAGAGCAGCAACTGCAACAACAGCAGCCACAGGAGCAACGGCAGCAGCAACAGCAGCAACACCAGCAGCAGCAGCAACACCAGCAGCAGCAGCAGCAGCAGCACATATGCGGTGTCTCCGTTTATTGATTTCATTTTGTTGTATAGACAAAACGCCATTCGCCTGAAGGGGCCCCCAGGGCCCCTCTCTAGCAAACAGCTAGCCACAGCTAGCCGCATCTAGGCACAGCTAGCTACGGCTACACGCCTCTGGCCACAGCCAACTAG